GCTCATCACACCCCTTATCCACAACTACTGTGGACCTTCTGGACCATTCCCCTGTGGTTCCCTTCCTGAGTTTGGATCGGCCCTGTTTCACAGGTTTCTAAGGGCTTTTCTGCCTGCGGAAATTGCTATTCTAGAATAAACTTCCTATGTGGACACTCTTAATTCCAGAAAGGAGGGTTGTCAACATTTGAAAATTAATTCAGATTAAGGAAGGGTGAGAATTTAAAGTTCAGGAGTATCTCCCCTTGTGGACACTCATATTCCAGAATAAGAGTGCCATGTTCCTGTTTAACATAATCCACTTCTGAAGAACAACTTTCCTATCTAGACAAGCTCTAATTGGAGCAGCATACTGTGGGAAGCTGTCTATCCTTCATAGCAGAAAGTAGGCTAGGAAAAGAGCACTAGATACGGGGGACCAGTATATGTGAGTGTGTGTGTGTGTGTGTTTTTGTGGTGATCCTGGCAGTTATTTTTTTGTCTCATCACCTGAATTACTTCTATCCTCTCTCTCTTCCCCCCGCCCCCCCCCCAAAAAAAAAAGTTATAGGGAAGCAATGGATCCTAGTGGATAGAGCACTGGTCTGTGACTCAGGAGACCTGGGTTCTGTTGCCGCCACTGGCCTGGGCAGGTGATCTTTGGCAAGTCACTTTCCTTTCACTGTGCCTCACGTTACCCCTCTGTAAAGTGGGGATAATGATACTGATCTCCTTTGTAAAGTGTAAAAGATCTGTGGTGCTCTATATAATTATTTATTACTTTGTTTCATAGTAACCCATGTAAATTCCAGGTGTACAATGGTGTATTAAGAAAAAATATTGTCCAATGGCTGTATCTGATTTTCATGTGCAATTACACATTCGCCTAAATGCCATCCTTCCTTTATGGTGGCACACATGAACAGGAAGTATGTTTGTGCTTCTCTGTGTGAATTTTCCATTTTGAATTGGGGACATAATGAACACAGACTCGTACTGACAGAACTGGGGCTGGCTTTCCAAGGTCTCTTAGTTTTGCTTCACTGCGCATGATAAACACTGCCTGGGATGTGAGCACATGATCAGCCCAAACAGCCAGTCAGTTGTGGGGTGACATTTTCCTATGGAACACATTTGATTGAACTATGTATTGTGCTTTATATGGGGGTGTTTGCACAGATTCATCCTCTGATGAAGTTGAAAGCCTGTGCACTTTCACACTGGCCTGTCTGTCATCAAAGGCTGATTTAATTCACATGATAAAGTACAGTCACATTTCTGTGCACTGCATTCGCCAATGTTCAGAATGGCCTTGAAGCATTATCTAGCAGTTGGAGCCAAAAATGCCACTTGCTTTGCTGAATTGGGGCTTTCAGCCACACTAAGCCATCTACTAAAACCCAATGGGATTTAAGCACATGCTTAAATTTAAGTATGTGCTTAAGTACTAGGCCTAATGCTCTGATCCTACAAACCGTTACATGTGCACTTAACTTGATGCATGTGAGTTGTTCCATGGAGGTCAATGGCACAACTCACATGCATCAAGTTAATCATGTGCATAACTGTTTGCAGTACTGGAGCCTGCTTGAATTTCTTTTTCTTTTTCTTCTTTTTCTTTTCTAATAGCTCAGCAAAACATTTATATTGTGAATTTCTATTAAATAAAATCATATTTCTCAGCTACAATGCGATCTGACTCAATAAGCCCCAAATTAGTCCTATCATGCTTTCAATGCTGCTCACAAAAGCAACAGGAAAAAAGGCTGTGAGTGTTAACAACCAATTGTGTTGTGAAAGTCTGTGTACTTCGTAGTATCATCAAGGCTGTGGGAAAGTCCATACAGTGTGACTGGATAAAGGAGCTATGAATAGGAGAACACCAAACAGCGTATCAGCTGAGTTGATAGCATATGTTAGGTTATGTCTACAGATACAGCTGTGCCGCTGTAAGTTCTCCCCTGTAGCTGCTCTGTGCTGACGGCCTGGGCGAGAGCTTGCCCATCGGCATAATTAAACCACCCCCAATGAATGGTGGTAACTATGTTCGTGGGAGAGCATCTCCCAATGACATAGCACTGTCCATGCCCCTGCTTCTATTGGTGAAACTTACATTGGTCAAGGGTGTGGTTTTTTTTCACACCCAGACTGACAAAAGTGCTAGTGTAGACATACCCTTACCTTCAACTAGCTTCTCTTTCCTTTCAAAGACGTAACTTCTCCACTTACTTTCCCTTTGCCGCTCCCTGGATTTACTACCTTCCATTTCTTCCCTACCCTAAGGCCTCAACTACACTTAAAAGTTTTGCTGTAAAGCTATATCTTTATAGTGTAGACTGATCAGGTCTACTGATGTTATAGCCATATCCTCCTAGCATAGATACAGTTATACTGACAAGACTATGTTTTTGCTGGTATAGCTTATAGTGATTTGGTGAGTGAAATAAACTGTGCTGGCAAATATTTTGGGCAATATAACTGGTGACATAGCTATGTTAAAAAAAAAAAAAGTCACACCCCTAACTGACATATTATGCCAGCAAAACTTTTAAGTGTAGACTTGGCCTAAGACATACCTTTTGGCAGTATTTTCACCACAAACTTTATCTTCCGATTCCTGTCATGTCCTAAGTGTTAAGCCTGACCATTCCCCATCTCACCTCAAGACCCAAGGTAAATAAACAGCATATCATGCATACTGTGTGGTAGCTGCCTCAGGAACCTCCCCTCAGAATCATGCCAGCTGGCAGGATGTCTTTAACATATCCAAATAGAGTAGACACTTCTCTTTAAAGCTTTTTCTCTTTCTCAAAAAGGTCATTTACAGATAGGTGAAAGATCAAGCCTACAATTAGAAATGTGGGTAACTTGCTACATATGCTTGTACATACGTAGCGTACAGAAGAATATTACACACAGGCAGCGGGTACAGGCTTGTTAAGCATCAGTTAATACAAAGGTAGGAGATGTAATAGAAACCTTAACATCCTATGTTACAGTTTTAAAAGTACAGGATTGTTAAGGATTAGCTGGGATGGTAACTGGTTAAAAGAGAGGAAACATAGGGTAGGAATAAATGGTCACAGTGGAGAGAGGTAAATAGCAGGGTCCCTGAAGGAGCTGTAATTAGTCCAGTGCTGTTCAACATATTCATAAATGATCTGGAAAAAGCAGTAAACAGTGAGGTGGCAAAGTTTGCAGATGATACAAAATTATTTGAGATAGTTAAGTCTAAATCTGACTGCAAAGAGTTTACAAAGGGATCTCACAACACTGGGTGACTGGGCAACAAAATGGCAGACGCAATTCAATGTTGATCAGTGCAAACTAAGTACATTGGAATACATAATCCCAACTATACATACAAAATGATGGGGTCTAAATTAGCTGTTGCCACTCAAGAAAGATATTTGAGTCATGTGGATAGTTCTCTGAAAGCATCTGCTCAATGTACAGCGGCAGTCAAAAAAGCTAGCAATGTTAGGAACCATTAGGAAAGGGATAGATAATAAAACAGAAAATATCATAATGCCACTATATAAATCCATGGTACGCCCACACTTTGAATGCTGTGTGCAGTTCTGTTCACCTCATTTCAAAAAAGATGTATTCGAATTGGAAAAGGTGCAGAGAAGGGCAACAAAAATGATGAGGGGGGTGGAACGGCTGCCATATGACTTGAGGTTAAAAGAACTGGGACTGTTCATCGTAGAAAAGAGATGACTAAGGGGGGATATGCTAGAGATCTATAAATCCATGAATGGCCTGGAGAAAGTGAATAGAGAAGTGTTGGCCAAGATGGTCAAGGAGGCAACCCCATGTTCCGGCTATCGCTAAACCTCCAATTGCCAGAAGCTGGGACTGGACGTCAGGGGATGGATTGCTTGATAAATTTTGCCCTCTTCTGTTCATTCCTTCTGAAGCATCTGGCATTGGCCACTGTTAGACACAAGATGCTGGAGTAGATGCCATTGGTCTGACCCAGTATGGCCCTTTTTACATTCTTATGAAAAAATTTCACATGAAGAGAGATTGAAAAGGTTGGGATTGTTTACCTGAGAAAAAGGAAACAAATCAGAAGAGACAAGATAAAAGTATATAAAGTAATGAATGGTCTCAAGAAGGTAGATTACGAGCTTCCATAACACAAGAACAAAGTGGCATTCAGTGAAATTAAAAGGCAGCGCATTCCAAAAAAAGAGAGCTATCGAACAAATGATGGTAAAATGGGTTCATGTTGTGAAACTTGCGTAGATCTGACAGTCTATTGGTGTGCAAAACACGTGTAATTTACCTACTGAGAGAACAGAAATGAAGTATAGCAGTAAAAATAACTGATGGGGAGCAAAATAAAATAGGGGGTACGGCTTTATCTTATAACCACCAACTATTTGTTTTTCCTGTTAGGCTTGTTTTACACTTTTACACACACACACAGAGAATGCTAAATTTAAATGAGTTATTACTTTGCACTTCATACCCATTTTCAGGACTCTTACGCCTGATGTGCAGTTTACACTGCTATTTTAAACCAACGTTGAATTTAGACTACAGATTTCCATGGGATTGCACCTTCTTAAACCTAGGATTTTTAATCACTTCAGTGCTGCAGGCAGCAGCTGTCTGTGGTATTGTCAGGTTTTATACTGGGTATTTAGGGAAGCAGATTTCCTGGATCTACTCAATGGCCCTTGCAATATTAAAGGGTTAAATGGTCCCCTGAAATTGATTTAGCTGATTATAATGATGCTCTTGCTATGAGAAAAAATCACATGAGAATTAGGAGAAAGAATGGGTATTAATTTAACTGTAATTCAATTACATGCTATTCAGTAATGAGGAAAGTAATAGCTTCACTTAAGCATAAAACTGATGGAAGTTAATTAAATATAGAGCATTTTAATGCCAAAATATTTGCCCTTGCTATAGGTTTGGTGTTTCTCCAAAGTAAAAAGCCATGATACACCCTTTTTATTCTTTAGATAGGAAATATTTTATTTTATTTTGTTTTGTTGTTACAGAAATCTGTTTCCTTCCAACCTGGTTGTTGCTGCTTTTCGAACGGTAAGGCCTATGTAAGCTTTCAGAAATGAGCTGCACTGAGCAGGCAGGCCAAAGGAATGCTGGCTTTTCATAAATGACTGCACATGTGGTAAATTGTAAAACAAACAAACAAAAAAAACCCCACCACAATAATTCACCGTTTGGGGGCATTTTCAAAAGCACCTGCGGTAACTTGGCACCTAGCTCCCTTTGAAAGCCAGTATGAGTTAGGTGCCTGGCTACATTAGGCTCTCTTGAAAATCCCACACAGTGGTGGTGTATTGATGGGTCTGCAATATGGCTAACATACATCCACTGACCAGCTATTCATATGGCCTATAGACAATGGTGTGGAATTAAGTCTGGAATGAACAAAGCTAAAACACCAAAGGTCCACTGGAATACAGCAAAGAGCTTTACCTTTTGCTGCCTAATATTATTCATTACATCACTTGTCCCCAGTTCAGTCTCATTTCTCATCTGACATACAGTGCTATGAGCGAAGCATGGTAGTACACTAGCTGGCACCAGAATGTATGAACTCGTTTACACTAGATGAGCCTGAGCTGTGAAGTTTGAAGAAGATGTTGGTTTGGGCCCATTTCTAATTTTAGATGTATGTAAAAGATACTTATTGCTGAAGATACTCTATTGCTATAAGACAGGGTAATTCTTTCAGATAGCCGAGCTGAAAAATAACAATTGTTAGCTCCATTGTGCTCTTTTCTTCAAAGCAAGACAGAACTCCAAACTCAGGTTTCATATAAAACCATAAAATAGTACAGGTCAAAGTCCCACATAAAATAAAAGTGGGAAATATAGCCACAGTATTCCTTGGTGTAGTGGTATTCTGTAATAAGATTTAAGTGGGGAGATTCTGCATTTCTTTACACTGTCATTGACACAATTCACAATTATTCAAATTCTTTGTTTCCCTATTTTGAAAAATATAAATCAAGAGCCTTGCTCCTGGGATGTGTTTAATTTAGGCATCAAAGTAAATTTATGGCCTTGTTTTTTGTGTGTGTTAATTAATATTCTTGATATCCCAATCTAATTTACAGGTAAGTTTTAAGGGTGACACTTACATTTGTATAGGTGGCCAAAATACGCACCATATACATTCCACTTAAGCCGTCAAAATAAGATGTAGGTGTTGCATAGGCCTTGTGCTTGTCCTCTGCATAAGGGTGAATTTTAGCTGGCTAGAGCTTTTCAGATAGTGACTTCATTTACCTTAATTCTCTGGGCCATTTGCTGTTTGTTTTTCAAAGAATACTAATTGAAGTCAGTATATTTGTCTGAAAAGCTGCCAAAAATATATTTGAGAGACAAGGCTCAAAAGCTCGTCCCTCTCACCAACAGAAGTTGGTCCAATAAAAGCTATGACCTCACCCACCTCATCTCTCTACTATCCTGGGACCAACACAGCTACAGCAACACTATATACCAAAAATACATGCCAGTCCCCAAATACTCTTCGGTTTTGAAAATGTAAATCATGACTTTTAGTTTAAAACTGTTTGTCTATAAATATCTATTTCTGAAATACCAATGTACGGCAGTGGGGACGTAACAGCTACTGGGCAACTTAAAGGAACACTGTCACTTTAAACCTGTGCAGTGGACGATTGTGCTCTGGTATCCCCACACAGGGAGGGAACTGTATACCTAATTGCTCCCTCCTCTTATGCAAGAAGGGTCAAAGTCAAGTTGGCTTAATGGGCCTGATTCTGATTTCTATTGCACTGGTATAAATTAGGAATAACACCATTTATCCATTACCAGTAGAATTATTTCTGATTCTCACTAGTGTCCCCTCTCTCTCTATGCAAGTTTAGCTTAGTTTGTAGAGATCCTTTTTTATCCTGATCTATAGCCTGGGCCCAGATCAAAACAGTCTGGTGAAATCATACTGGTAACCTTACAGTGATGAAATGTCGTACTAACACAGATAGGGTCACAGTGATAATCTGATGCCCACAGAAAACGTGTTGTTTTTTGTATCCACAGTATGCAACGGATTATAAGATAATAGTAAGAAACATCTCCATTGGAAATGTTACATTTGAGAAGGTAAGGCAGTTTCTCTCTCTCTATCTATCTATCAATCATACTTATATGGCCTGTGTTACTGTAGTATCTGAATGTTTCATAGTCTTTAATGTCTTTACCTCACAACATCCCTGAGAAGTAGGGAAGTGTTATTACTCCCATTTTATAGATGGGGAGCTGAGGCTCAGAGAAGCCAAGTGACTTGCCCAGGGTCACACAGGAAGTCTGTGGAGAAGGGAATTGAAATCACAGCTCCAGAGTCGGAGGTTAGTGCCCTACTCGCTGGAGGACTCATCCGTAGCCCTTAGTTTCTTAGTCCTTATTCTTGATAAACAAGTATAAGAGAAGCGCAGACGTGACTCCTTTCCTCTTTGCATTCTTTAAACCAGTCAGTTGGTTGAGATTGTTTCTAGTTACAGCTTCATTGCATCTTTATTTTATTTAATCACTGATTCAAGGCAGCAACAGTTGGTTCAAGGGGATGAACATGACAAATTAAGCAGAACAGAGGCATATCTGCAAGTAGCCGGAAAATGAAATCTGATTTGCAGGTGCTGCAGATGGCTGCCGTCTTTATTTTCAAAAGTATGGCCTGTGGAGACTTTCGGTGTCATTTCCAGAAGTGGTCAGCATTGGCCTACCTCTGCTCCCACTCAGGGGAATCTTGCCCATAGGGTGAGATTTTCAAACACGCCTATTGTTAGTCTTGTAAACTTACTATATTTGACCTGGAAGTTATTTAGAGACCAACACAGGATTCCAGGATACTATTTTTCATGGTCACTTTCCCAAGCATAACAGGACTTTCAGCCCATTCTGGTGGTGGGGGGGGTTGTTTATCACACTGAATTTTTTACTCAGTTAATGTTTAGCTTGAATTTGGAGTTTAACGGGCCCCCTGCATGCATTTCCAGTTCAGGTCTAGACTCTCACAGCCTCCACCTCCAGCCTACTTCATAGCCACGGGTACAGGGGGTTGCCCACACTTTCTCTTGCTCCCTGCTAGCAATAGGGCCTGGGGAAGGCAGTGGAGGAAAGGAGATAGGAGCTGGATCCTGTCAGTGCTGCAGATACAGAGCCTCGGCCTGCCTCCCCCTCAGGTTTTCAGCACTTTCCTTCTCCCCTGGCTGGTAGCTGTGGCAGCAGCATTCTCTCACAACCTATACTGGCTTGAAGGTGCACTGGCCAGCCTGTTTCTCAACCCACCAGGATAATGAGACTGGGAATCCCCACCGCATTTCTTCTGTGGCTGGATCCATGATTCTAACATGCTCCAGCAGAGCAGCAGCTGTCGCTTGCCCTCTTCTGCTGGTTCTCATCCTGGCTGGCCCCTTGGGTCTGCAGCCTGCTGGAATTCGGGATTCTCAGTCTCTCACTGGGTTCCTGGAGGCAAGGAGAAGAGTGCTTCGTCCACAGTGGGATCTGTGCATGGCAGCTACAAGCTTGTCAACTGCTTCCCTCATCCCCATTTTCTTGTCGGGCCCCTCCCAGATCCTGCTGCCTCCAGAAGTCACTTTTGTCCCATTGGGTCAAATCCTGAGCAATGCTGACCCCTGAGAGGTCAAACCCTTCCCCCCTGCAGTGGAAGTTGCAGGTACTCATTGTGACAGTTCTCAGGGTACCCAGGACCGAGAGTCTTCACCAGCCTAGTAGTCACCCAAGCACTCTCCTCCAAGCTATGCCAGCCCTGACTTTGCCCTGCAGGTTATCAGGAGGTGTACTCCAGTCCGTGTCCCTTTGAAGTGTCCCCTTGTAGTGTTCAGCCTCTTATCCGTAGAACACTCACAGAAATACCCAGTCTGGTGTCCCCAAATGGACAGTGTACACACCAGCTTTTATGATTCAACTCAGGATCAGCACGTTGCTTAAGATCACAGCACTGAAGTATATTTATAGAGAAAATAACAATAAGTTTATTATAAAAGAGTCAAGTGATAGTGAGTAAGGAAACTGGAAACAAAAGGTTATATGGAAAACAAAATTATAACACACTTCCTAGAGACTAGACTAGACTTAACAAGTTGTTATCTTGCCTAAAGAAGCTTATCTCACCCAAAGTCCTCTGCAGCATTTCACCCAAGGTTTCATCCCATTTCCATGACTGTAAAGACGCTGCCCATTTATTTCCTAGGCCCAGGATCCGGAGGTGCCTTCTTTGCCTTCTGCTTATATCCCCAAAGTTCATGTATGTTTCAGAGACAGCATAACCCCCATGGATTGTTTTCCTATGTGCTGCTGCCCTGTTGGCTTTACCTCTCTTTGATAACTTCTATGTAAATGGACAACCATTGTGTTCGCTTACAATGCTTAATTAACATCTCAACAGAGACAGGTGAATAGACATCTTTTGTTTGACAGAAAGTCTGTTTCTCCATCTCTGTTGTGATGCAGAATATAAGAACACATTTCAATATATAAACATGACTCCTTACCTGATATCTGTACATACATTTCACAATGATATCAATGACCAGTTGTAACCCTGGCTTTCATTTGAGACATCACATGACATTCTTTGGTAAACCAGAATGCACATACCAGGATCAGGATTATCCTTGTAATCCCCTTGCCAGTTGTCATTAAGTCCTAGCAATTTACTCCAGGAGTTTGCTCCCACTGAGTAATCTGCAGTATTTAGAGTCTTTCACTACACCTTGAAAAGATGGGGAAATGAAAAACACCCACTGATAAACTCTTTGAGGAAGATCCTTTTAATTCCAGTCTCTAAAACTGCCTGACACTGACTTTTCTGTTCTAACATTAGAGTGTATCACCCCTAAAAAACTGCCAAGCAAAGCAGCATTATGGACACAAAACAAAAATAGCTTTCATAAGAGCTTTGTTCGCTGGTGTCAGACAGGACACACATCTTGTTGCCTTAATTTAGGTATTTAGCAGAAACATTATTGATCGCTGTTCTGTTCCTCAAAACTCACTGAAGAGCTTACAGTTTGTTTATTTTTTAGCAGACTGAATGAAATCTATGTCCCAGAAAGGGTCTGCTAAGATATAGACCATCCAATTTCAATCTGTAGTTAACATAAAAAAAAGGAATATAACAATTAAAAGATGATTAGTATTCTCTATATCACAGGAGCATCTGTGAAGCTCAGTCCAGGGCCCCTTTGTGGTAGGCAATATGTAGACAAGTAATAAAGGTGACAGTCCCTGCCCCAGAAAGTGACAGAGGGGATGCAACAGCAGTACAAAACAGATAGATGGGGTGGAGTTGAGTGGGAGCATGAGATAATAAAATGAACATAGCTGAGCAAAAATATAACTCCCCTCTAGCATAATCCACCGATACTACAGGGCCTGATCCAGTAGCCATTCAAATCAATGAGAGGCTTTACAGTGACTTCAGTGGGCTTTGGATCAGGCCTGTAATGTAATTAACATCGGACACATGAAAAGGAGAAGAAGGAAAAAGATTGCCCCATGTTAAATTGAATACTTTGTATCTTGATGAAGAATACTGCTGTAAGGCACCTAGCACATTCAGATCTAGTCTGGAGCCCATCTTAATACTAAATGCTATGTGTTGTTAAAAGATAAAAAGTCCCTGTCCAAATGTAACTATCATCCATCCATAAGTAACATGACAGCAGAGTTGAAATGCAGCTGCTGAATGATGCTTTTAGTTTCGTTTTGTCTGACCACCCTTCCCTAGAGGCACTAGGACTACTCCCGGTGGAATTAAAGAGGCTCCACCCTGGCATAATTCCGGTGTTTGAAAAAAAACTTTTTATACGTGATCGGGAAAAAATCTTTGCACAACATCACTGGCTATAACAGCCAGATATTAATGTCAGACTACGAATACTTGATGGTGTTCCAGGAAACACAGCACTCCATCAAAAAAGAGCCCTGCAAGGTGTAAAAATTAAAAGAGAAGAGAACAGAAAAGAATGCCACCTTTTAAGCTGCCAAAAGTCACATTCAAATCTTCTAAGAAAAAGAAACAGAAACATGGTTTTCAAAGTGCATCCCAAAGCGTGCTTGGCAGCTAAATCCCAGTCAGATAAGTACAGTGGGCCTGAGTCCATGCAGCTCACTGGGGTGTCAACTCCTGGCAAAATTTGGCCTGGTGCACTGGTAATGAAAATTCTTCTCTCAGTTGAACCAGGGTAATTTAGGAGTAACTCCACTGTTTGTGTAAATAAGCATACATAAGTAAATATACTTAAATAAATCCTTTCATGTAGAGGAGAGAAAACATTTATTGCAAAATGAAAATTTCAAAAATGAAACATTTTGTTCTGATTTTAATGTGTGAAATTTTTATACTATAAGATTTCAAAACAAAAATCATTTCAAAGTGAGTAATCAAAACGTTCTGATAAGGTCATTTTGACCTTATTAAAATGATTTTTTTTCAATTTTTTTCCGAAATGAAAATTCATCAATATGAACACATTCCCATGAAAAGTTTCGAGTTCAACAAAAGGGAATTTTCTGATGGAAAAAATGTTCAGTTAGAAAAAATTTTAGCAGCTCTACTGACACTCCTTTTCCTTACTGCCTGCAAGCAAACGCAGCTTGGAATCTGATTCAGATTGGGTTCTTTCTGACCTGTGCATCACCTGTTCCTGAGGGAATTCCACACTGAAACGTTAAAAATTCTGTGCACAATATTTTAAAATTCTGCATATTTTATTTGTCAAAATAACACAATATAATCACACCATTTTCAACTATTTGCTGACAATTATTTGGAAATAAATTACCAAAAGAATTGAAAATGGTGTGATTACATTGTTATTGTGTTTCTGTGTTATTTTGACAATTAAAATATGCAGAACTTTGCAGAATTTAAATTTTTTAAACTTTTTGGTGAAGTATCCTCTCAAGAGTATCAGTATTCTGTGTGGTTCAATCTGGGTGCGGGCAGCTCGGTGCGGGGTCTGGGTGCAGGGGGGAATCTGGATGCACAAGGGCTTGGTGCAGGGGGAATGGGACTCTGCAGGGGAGTCCAGGTGAAGGTGGTTAGGGCTCAGTGGGGGGCTTGGTGCGGGGGGTCAGTGTGCAGCTAGTTTGGGCTCAGTGGGGTGGGGGTCTGAGTGTGGGGGGCGCCTGATACACAGGCTGAGACTCGGCGGAATGAGGGTTTAGGGAGTTGTTGGTGGGGTTCTAGGTGTGGGGGGCTCCTGATGTGGAGGGGGCTCAGTGGGGGGTGGGTTTTGAGTGCGTGGGTTGGGGAAGGGGTCACTGTACAGGGAGCTGCTCCCCCTGTCTGCCCCAACCCCTGTGCACCCAGACACCCCTGCACCCAACCCCCGCCACTCTTCAAACAAGGATTCTCTCTCTTAAAGTTGCTGGTTTTATTTGAAGTGCATCAGTGTTCTGAATTTTTGTCAACATTTATTCTACATTTTAAACTTTTATCTGGGAATATATTTATCTTTCTGGTGTTGAGCAGATGTCTACTTCAACTAGCCAGAAGTCTAGTTATTTATTACCTCTAATCTTTTATTGTGCTTAGATTAGCTAATAAAACAACCTGGGCTATTAAGAAGTATGTGTTGTCAATGGGAAAAAATGGTTTGTCAAAACGATTATATTTTTATTAAGCCATGAGAGCACTCAGTCAGATCCTATTTTGTTGTTATGCCAAACAAGTCCACAGTACTTCTAGGGAAGTGAGTTCAAAAGGACTGGCAGAGAGCGCTTGTCAGCATATCGTGAGCTCATTTATGTGAAAAGCTAGATCAGTTTTATTATCCCCTTACTTGCACCAATTAGCCAAACTATTTCTGAGAACATGAAGCATGTTTTCATTTGCACCGCCTAAGCCTGATGGTGCTGACAGAGAAAGATGGATTAAGAACTTTTCACTATTTCCCACCTTTTTTCTAAATACCACCTGTAGAATGTATCTGTAGCTAACCAATAGCAAACCATGAGTCTAGAATGCAGGAGGCTGTTTGCATAAACGAGTTATTATAGGAGGTGGAATAAGCCTGAATAGGGTTTGGTTCCTCCCACTAAATAATGCTATGTATTATCAGTAGCGATGGGTAATTAGCTATGGCGGATACCTGCTTTACAAAAATATAGGAGTAGCTTTGATACCTGAAATATCTTACAGAACATGCTCCCTCCCAGGGCCATGGAGAAGAGACTTTCTAACCTTTAACTAGTGCCCCAGTTCTGTCCTGACCATGAGTGATTTGTCACCATTTTGACCTGTACCAGTCCTTCTGCCCTGATGCTTGGATAACTACTGCTGGAGTCAATGGGGAAGTTTGCATGCACAAGGACTGCAGGATCTGACCTTAACTAGTTCCCATGAATACTGAAACAGAAGCACATTCCCTTTTATTTCCTCTGCAGTGTTGTTGGGTTGCTTTGCATAATGTCCCTTTCCTTTCCTTGGGAGGTTCTGCCATGCTGATTTCAGACTTATCAGACAGCAAAATAACAAGAGGTTCATTTTTATTCAATTCCATATCAGTATGATGCCTAACAAACATGCTGTTTATTTTCATACCACAGATCCCTATTGCCACAGAGATCGAAGGGATGAATATTCTGGGACTGGTTTTGTTTGCTCTGGTTTTGGGAGTAGCTTTGAAAAAGCTTGGCCCAGAAGGAGAAGATCTGATTCGTTTCTTTAACTCATTCAATGAGGCAACTATGGTCTTGGTGTCTTGGATTATGTGGTAAGTGTGGTTGTAAATACGTTACCAAGACAGCAGTGCTTCCTGGTTTAGGAATGTCTGTCTTTACCTACCTAGCTGGGTTTTTGATGCCACATCCATTACCAGAGTAAAGAGTGAGTGGCATGGCATCAGTGAAATGAGTCTGGTACTTTATGGCTGTTTTGCCCACTATATTTTCTCCCGTGTTTATCTGTGATGCCTCTTGAAAATAAAGAATGTAGCCTCTTTCTTTGCACATGAGCAATATCCAGAAGGTCGCTTGCACTGTAGGCTGTCTCTTGAGAATGACAGGCAGTCCTCCAGGAATCAGCTGCAGGACTCAATTTTGATTACTTTGAAAATCAAGCCCTATTTTTTCTAAGCACCAGAAGCCTGGGTGAGTACACAATTACATGCCCAATTTTTATGCAACTTTACTGTGACTGCACAAGCAAGTTGGGAATTTGTACATGCAAAACCCCAATTTGCATGCACAGTTGTAATAATTGCATGTGCAAACTAGGTGCACAGTTGTGATCCCATATTTTAGTTCATTCCTTTATCTTATGATTATTTGAAATTCAGGCTCTGAATACAAACTCAGATATAGCAAAACACTCGGAAAACAGAATATGTTTAACTATAACACAACATTACTCGGGTTCCAAGGAAAGTCTACTTTTGAAGAAGTGCTTGGGTACAGAACACAGAACTGACAAAACACAACTGAAAACCTCGGTCCCTTCATATAAGAAGACTAGTTAGGAGTTCCCATTAGAGTGACAAAATAGGTGAAAATCTTGACCCTATTGAAGTCAACAGGAGTTTTGTCATTGACTTCAGTGGAGCCAGGATTTCCCCTTAGATCTTATGTCTCAATTCATATAGGAAAGACCTCTTTCATGTTCCTGGGTGGGAAGGGAATATGGGAGCCAATACTTTCAACATACAGATAGGATTGCCAATTTTAGTTGGACATATTCCTGGAGGTTTCAACTCATGACATAATCTTTAACTAAAGATTAATCTTTAATTCCTGGAGACAATTCTGGAGGGTTGGCAACCCTACCTACAAACCAACATCTCATTAACATTCCTAATCTCCCAGAGATAGCCCTCCTCCCACATCTGCTGGATGTCTATGTATTTTCTAAGGAGGCTGAACCTCTGATGATAGTTTATTTTATCTCCTTCTGCAGAATTGTAATAGTGGGACCTCCCCTTCACCCCCTTCTCTGGAGTCCAGCCATTTCCAGTCAATGAACACTCGGAGACCAGTCATGCATACATTTCTGTGTGACATTTGCCATGAGAGTTTTAGATCCCTGCTAAAGTATGAGGAGAACTAACTATCCTACTATCCAAAGTATAGAAATGAAAAACCATAAGTACAATTACAGTAAAAGATAGCTGAAACTCATTTGTCCCAACATTTTACAAAAGCTAAGGTCAATCATAAATGTTTCCAATATTATATATATATATATTAATCCAGTGGTTTTTTTTAATTTCAGTTTTTAAAAAGTAAATATTCCTGTGTGGTAGTTGCAACTTGACCCGTGCAACATTAAGACTATAAAGGAAAGTAAAAGTGAATCCACTGATTTGTTTTTCATTGTCTAAGCTGAGAGCAAAACAAGAAGTAAAGAAACAGTGGAAAGAGGAAAGTGGAATTTTAAACACTCATCCAAGTTTACTAATCTAAGGTGTAATTATTGATGGGGTAAGAGAAGGTGTTAATTTTAGATCAGATTTGCCAGCTGAAACACTCAATGTCCATATGGATAGGTTGGTTATGACTCTTCACAGTGAGCAACGTCATACTCAGCAAAGACCTCTGAAAAGTTTCAAAGCATGTTTCTAAAATCACTCTGCTAGAAGAGTAACTCGTTTTACACCAGTTTAAGTGAAATCGCAATCAGAGCCCCAGATGTCATGCCTGCCATTCATTACATACTGTATACTGAATGGCTGGAGGTTACATCTTATGTAAGAGACCCAAACTGCTAAACTGTCTATGGGAATATCATTCTGCCAATCAAACAATGCTTAGCCAATAGCATCTTACCCTAGGTGCTGAAACTGCACCCAGAAGAACCACAACCATTCAGGAAGTCTCTCAAATTATGCTCTGTCCTTTTCTACCTCCATGTATATACATCCTGACAGGTGCGTTTTTTTTTCACTTGAACTGCTGTTTTTTCCCCAAGAAGTGGAATGGATTCAACAAAATATCTGACCTTATAAATACAGACCTTTCTGTTCATTTCTGTCATTAGGGATTTAAATTTAAAAGTCTCAAAGCAGCTTAAGGCTTTCACTCTGGAGTGTAATTCCTAGGCTATCAAAAACTGATAGAGGGTGGTTCTTGTACTCAGCTCATTAATGAAGCTAACTCTCCACATTAATCAGCCATATGTAATCCTTTTCTTTGTGGATTATTGGAATGCTTCTGAGCCTGACATGGCAACATACAGTAATTCTCACTTCTCTTTCCTTCTCTAAGGCTATCGGTGTCCTCCTGATATTTATCCAAAATCTCTCACACTTTTCAAGTAACAGTTAGGGATGGGCAAAACTGTTCTTACGAGATAAGTGTCTGGAATCTCCTCCCCTTCTGTGAACCAAACCCAACCATCAAACCTTTAAGGGCTGTTGTCAGCCAGTGGTTAAAGTAAATTGAAATAAGATGAGAAGCCTTCATCATACCAGCCAAGGAGGGGGAGCTGCTGCTCACACAGGCCAGGGCAAGGACTGGGGTACTGTACAAGAGGTGACATTGGCTCTCTCTTGAGGGCAGGGGCAGATTGTGGGATGGAAGAGGAAAGGACATGTCAGTGGATCTACTCATTTTCCGATCCACCAGCTATTGCTTTGGGGGCCCAGGGTCTAGAGTAAGCCTGGAAACTGGAGTAGCAGCTGCTGTGCTGTGGTGAGAATTTCTTCTCTTTTCATCTCCAGGGAATTCCCCAGCACACAGCCGGGCTCCTTGGGCTGGAGATGTGTTTGGGGCCTAAATGCAGCTCCCAAGGAGCTCCCTTTGAGGACTGTAAACTGTTGCTGACAAAGGAAACCACAAACAAATTATTGATGCCTGAAGATTTGGTGTGTCCGTAGATGGGTGTGTGTATAGAGCTGTAGGCCTGAGTGAGACTCCAGACGTGCAGTTGTTGTAGACAAATACTAGAGTTAAATGGCTTCCGTGGGCTGGCCCTGTGCCTTCTGAGCTTCAGGAACTAACCTGGCATCCTCGCTGATGGAATAAAACTCCACAATACACATCTTCTCCTGCACTCTCTCCTGTGGGCATGCAATCTCCCTGATAGCTTCTGCCAACATTCCTGTACCATCTCCGCTCCTGGCAGTGCCACTTTACAGCCTTCTTGGATGTTACTTTCAGGCCAAGGGCCAATGACAGCTTATCTAGCCTGACAACGTCCCCTTTAGCAACCAAGAGAGAGCACAGTTCATGGTAAATTTGTTTAGTGTAAGTGTATAGAGCGCATGGCCCCATGTAGTCTGTGGTTCTGGAGGCATGGAATTCACTGCAGATTTCACCCCTTCAGTAGGGGAAGAGTGCTGTACACAAGTTGCCTGGTGGGAAGAATTTGGTCCCTAAAAACGAAAGTGGCAGGTGTCTTTTTAAGGCTTGTTCCTCTTGCTTTATATTAATCAAAGACAACCCTTTTTTTTCTTTATATAGGTATGTGCCTATTGGCATTACGTTCCTTGTTGGAAGCAAGATTGTGGAAATGGAAGATATTGTCCTTCTGGTAACCAGCCTGGGAAAATACATCTTTGCCTCAATTCTGGGTCACGTCATCCATGGAGGAATCATTTTGCCGCTTGTGTATTTTGCATTCACACGCAAAAATCCTTTCAGCTTTCTCTTAGGACTTATAACGCCATTGGCAACGGCCTTTGCCACTTGTTCAAGGTGTGCTATTGTGCTTGTTTCTGAAATGGAATAATGGTATGCTAAATCCACGTTTTAATTTGAACAAGTTTCAGATGCAAATATTGGCCCTGATTCTGCAAAGGACTGTGGTTAGGCATATGGTATCCCCCTTACGGATTCCCACTGATGTCAGTGAGACACCAGAAGGGTTAACTCTACATCCGGGCATAACCTTTTGCAATATTGATGCCATTATTAGCAATGATGTGCAGCCCATATTTCAACAACTTCAGCGACACGGTGTGTGGGACGGGGGAATCTGTTTGCTTTCCCATTTAAAGAAAATCTCTTTCCTAACCATAACCAAGGAAGAAGGCAATACCACTTTGCAAAGGAGCTGTTGCTTTTGCTGAGAATAGTTATACATTGCTCTTGGCCAAGCTTTTCAAAAGGGACTAGTGATCTGGGGTGCCCAATTTGAGGCATTATAAAGGTCCAGATTTTCAAAAAGTTCTGACCCCACACCTGCCCTTTGAAAATCAGGCCCTTTTAAGACCTCTCATATCAGGCACCCAAAGTCACTAGTCAGTGTTGAAAATCTTGGCCTAGAATTCTATGTAGCAGTACTAGGGAAATACTAAGAATGATAATAAACTGACAGCTTATGCACTGGGTTGGACAGGACTGCACTGCTCCATGGTTGTCTTATTTCCTGTCTGTTTCTAGCTCAGCTACTCTCCCATCAATGATCAAGTGTATTGAAGAAAACAATGGAGTAGACAAGAGGATAAGTAGGTTCATCCTTCCTATTGGGGCCACTGTGAACATGGATGGAGCCGCTATATTCCAGTGCGTGGCAGCTGTGTTTATTGCTCAGCTGAACAATGTTGACCTCAATGCTGGACAGATCTTTACTATTCTGTAAGTTACTTGTAATTCAAACCACATCTCCCTGGCCCCCAAACACCATGCTAAGCCTGGGGTCTTTCTGTTTTTAAACACAAATCATTTTTTAATACCTAGCAGTTCAAATTCCAGACCTACAGTTGCCAGTTTTGGTTGGATGTATTCCTGAAGATTTCATCACATGACATAATCTTTGATTCCTGGAGACTCCAGGACAACCCAAACCAGACCTCTGAACTGAAGTTGTACATTGCTGTGGAACGTATTATCCAACAATACAACAGGAGTCTTTAAAGCTTTATAAATCTCGTTTTGACGTGTACTGGAATTTAGGGAGGTTTGATAAATTTGGAGATTAAGGGCTAGATCTGAATCTTAAATGGATACTGAGCATCTCAAAAATGCCATTGGTGCAGAACTCTTCTCTCCATCTCAAGCTCCCCTTTCCCCATCCCCTGGCCATCAAGCTAGGTAATTCCATGGCCTTTCCTATGCCCTTGCCTGCCATATCCTCCTTTAACCCCTTATTCTCCTTTACCTCTCATGTTTGGATGCCAGTAAGTCACTTCTTTCTTTACAACCAATCCAAACCCTGTCCTTTCCTTCCCCTCCTCACTGCTAATAGCTGTGTTCCTTCCTGCCTTGATAATTTCCCACCTTGTCTACGGTAACTTCCCTTTCTCTGGCCTTTCCTGTGCCCATGCTGCTGGCCTTTCCTGTGCCCTGTCTATCCAGAATGCTGCCCTCGCGTTCGTCATCCACACGCAGCCCTTTGACCACATTGCTCCCCTCGCGCTTGCTTTGGCAGCTCCACATCACCTTCTGTGTCAGTTTCATACACGTGCCGTATGCCTCTGCCCTGGCCTGTGTCCCATCCCTAGCTTTCCATGACTGCCCTGTTCAGAGCCGTTACTCCGCGTATCCTTTTGCATGCCCCTTTTTTGCCCTCCTATTTGTCTATCAATACTGCACCCATCCCTGTGTTAATCAAACACCTTCTCCCTCAAGCATCCTCATGCTGGGCTGTCCCTTCCACACCTGAAATAGCCTATATACCATGAGCCGTCCTTTTCATCCTTCAGATCCCTCCCCAAGACCCTCCAAAATTCCTCAGTGATCCCACAAGTAATTTTTAGCACCCCGAAGACACCAACATTCTGCATCCCGCAGACATCCCTGGGACATATTCTGGGTACTCCCCTTCCTCCCAGCCATCCGCTTCCTTTCCTTGCTCTTTTGCTTGCATGTTGTCCATTTGGATCACTTACACTCCTCTGGGCAGGAACAGGTCTAATTCTGACTGCAAAGCATCCAGCACACTTTGATTGCTGTTATCATTTTTCATGTACATGGCAGAGATAAACTGTGATGCACGTTGCTCATCTGAAAATACACTGGTAGTATTAGCAGCAGAGTCATTCCTTGGATAGCTAGTTTTGATTCTTGCAGAATAACAGCACTCAGTACCCAACAGTATTCATTTCCATTACTGTACATCAGCAGAACACATGGCCCAATACGGAAGAATCTGTAGACAAAGAAGTTACATTTGCCCCCCTCCTTTTGCTTTGGTTAAAATTGCCCCTGTAGGAGAATATGCACTGTAACCATTGAATGAGTGTGTTACTGAATTTGCACTAACTCGTGTTTGAAAACGTTCTCAGTGTGACTGCCACTGCAGCCAGCGTTGGAGCAGCTGGAGTCCCAGCTGGAGGTGTTCTGACCATTGCTATTATCCTGGAGGCCATTGGACTTCCCACCAACGATCTATCCTTGATATTAGCAGTGGACTGGATTGTGTAAGTACTGTATAATATATATTATCTGCTGCGGCATATGTAATTGGAAGCACAGCACTGGGGGAACAAAAGCAATGGTCTTGAAAATAAAAACTCAACTCACACAGTTGTATATCGAGTTTGCGCACACACTCTTTCTCTCTATCTTCACCAGAAAAGGCCGAGAATAACATAATTCTGTTTCAATTAAATAAGAACTGTAGGGCAGATCCTAAAGTACTTATTCAAATTTTACTTAATCTTTGTTGAGATGAAATTCCCATTGACTATAGTTCCCTGAAGAGGAATTATTTAGAGCTGTACAAGAGGGTATTGCTATAAATTAGATAGAAGAAAAAGAGAACTGAGGCTGAATAATGGGGAAAAGCTTCCTGAGCATTGGCTTCATTAGGCAGTGTGATGGTCTCCTGGGGAAAGCAGTACACATCCTGTTGCTTCAGACATTTAAAACTAGGTTAGACAAAGGACTGGGGAATATACTGTAGGGAACAATCCTACATTGGCAGAAGTGTGGAGTCAGGGGACAGCCAGTGATCATAAAACAGAGCTAATGCTGCTGCATGAACATGTTATGGGGCAGGTGCAATGTTCATCAGGATTTAGTTAGCTATTTTTGCACCTCTCCTTTCTTTGCTGTTGGAAAGAGCCAGATAAGGCCCAAATTCTGACATTCTTATTCAGTTCTGTTCAGCTCTTACCAAGACAAATCTCCCTTCTGAAATCAGCCTAACAGATCCCAGTGTGAAGAGTCTTATCCTGCTATTCAGACTAACTTTCTTCTCATGACTCCTAGATTTACCTTCTTGTACTGCCCTAAATAACTCCTCTCCCAGGGAGAAAGGTTAAAAGACTCCTTGTGTGTAGCTCTGCTTAGTGACATGGGGACCATCTGCAAATACCTGAAAGGCGTAGATAGCTCTCCTGTCACTTTAACTGAGCTATCCAAAATGGGGCTCTTAGACTTTTCGCTCAACCAATCCCTTATGCACTTTAATCATTGCTGTCTGCCTGTGAGCTCCCACCAATTGGTATGTCTAGCTACAGCAGTGTTTCACCCGCTGACTCTTAACCCCTCCCTGCCCCGATGGCCAGAAAATTTATCAATCTTAATAACCCAGAAAGCCTAACATTAAAGTACTTTACCACCGACACTGCAGTGCTAGTGAAATAACCGGTTTACAGTGCACTGACCTAGGCTGCAGTCAAGACCATTGGCCAGAGAAGGCTATTGAGGCAAATCCTTGGGCCAGGTTATTGTTGGATGCACAAGGCAAGGGAAAAGGGCAACAGTCATTCTTCCTTCCCACCTCACCCCCACCCATTTCATTCTCATTGTGCAGGGGACTCAAGTTCAGGAATGGATTCAGGGCTCTCTCTTCCTTGTGCTGGTGGAGACAGCTGTGGAGGGAGGGAAGTGGAAGCAGTGGGATAGTGGAGAAAGCACATCTGTCTCAAGGGAGATCACTTGTGTGTGCTCCCCTGTCTAGAGGGGAAGTGTTACACTGGCAGCTGAAGAGGAAGCATAGAGATTGAGAACAACCAACACTAATAGTTGGAGCCACCCATAAAACACTGTACACTTCTATATTAAAACTGTGATGGTCCCTATAGAGAACATCTAATGCCACTGTCTATCCACAAGAATTCCTTCTGTCTCCATTGACTTCAGTGGTGTTACACCAGGGATGAATTTGGCTCCATATATGGAACTGTACTGCTTACGTTAAAAGGGTGCCTTTGTGCTTTTGCCATTGACCAGGGATCGAACCACCACTGTTGTGAACGTTGAAGGAGATGCCCTGGGAGCAGGTATCCTTCATTATCTGAATCAAAAAGAAATGAAGGCAAAAGAGCAGGAGCTAAATGAAGTCAATGTAGAAGCAATTCCCAACTGCAAATCTGAAGGGGAAACATCACCTCTGGTAACACACAGGAACCAAGTCCCAACCCCAGCCAGTACTGCGGAGCCAGAGTCAAAAGAATCAGTACTGTGAACTTGGGGAAAGCCTGCAAACAGGTGGACTGCTGACTTGTTAACATGCTAGACCATTTGCACTGCTGTTAGGGACTGGCTGTGTGTTCACCTTTTGAGTTTCAGTGGCAATGATTTAAAGCTACAGATTTGTTAGGCATGTGTGTGTGTGTCTGTCTCTCCCTGGAGCGAGCAATCAACTCATAATGATGTTATGATGTTTCCTACAACACAAGTATGTGTGTGGTGTGCGTACATGCATACATGTATATGACAATGGTACCAATAAGGATTCTTTTTTGGGGTTAAAAAGATATTTATTAATAAAAGTCTGGGGGGCCAGGCTAAACAGAGAGCGCATACTGGTTGTAGATGGAATTTGCACCACAAACAGGTCTGAGAGCTGGGGGATCCCGGATGGCAGGGTAATGTTATGCAGGTGCCAATACTTTCTCAGAAACACCTATTATTTAATAGTATCTAGTGGGAAAAAGGAAGTGCATTTCTAACACACCACTCCCCTTGTCCTTTGTGCACACGTTACTGCAAATAAATGCTGAAGACCAGAAATTTTAAAATCCAAATGAATAGCTCAAGGGAGTCTGATCCTCAGTCCATTGCCATGCAACTTTATCCAAACATCCCCAGGAAGCAGACACTGTGGCAGCATTCGCTATCTATTCTCCTAGCTTTCAGTGATAGAAATCAACCCCGCAACTTTAAACTCTAAAATAACAAAGATTGGATGCAGACAAAAGATCTGCCTTGCTCTGTATTTAAAACTGACAAACCAATTTTAACCCAGTTTTGGCAAAGTAATTACACTTGGGCTGAGAACTTCTATAGCAAGTTACAGTATAACTGTGTCTACAAGAGAATTGTCTATAACAACACTTAGTGACAAATAATTAAGCTCTACGCACCTAAACACACACATGCATCTACTGCCACTAGAAACTCTTCATGTTTCTTTAATGGCTCAAGTCAGACATATTGGAACATATCCTTTTCCAATCAACATTTCTCAGACAAGAAAAGAATATAAAAACTCAAAATGTTTAAACTGATGAAAAATCCAAAGCATTATCCCCTGGATGTCCAGAGTAGGGACTACTGATGGCATGAGAGGGGGAAGGAGTGTGGAGTCCAGTGATTCCTAATAATCCTCCTGGCTCTTGGGACGGCTGTGCCTGCTCCTCTTTGTATGCTGCCCTGGTGTCCCTGTCCCTTCAAGAAGATAGCCAGCTTGGTGGATGTGCTGCTGTTAGGCCCCTTGTCTGCAGCAGTTCACTCTTATCATGTCTGTTCTTACCACAGGAGGTGGAAGAAACCATAGGCCAGGACTTAATGGTGCAAGTTTTAATTCCTACAGGGTATTCTGCCTGAAACTGAGTCAGCTGCTCCCTGACTTCTACACTGCCCCCACAGGGTCAGAGCCACATCTCATTGAAATCAGTGGCCAAATCATGCTCAAATAAATTGGTTAGTCTCTAAGGTGCCACAAGTACTCCTTTTCTTTTTGCGAATACAGACTAACACGGCTGTTACTCTGAAAAGTGGCCAGACTGCCACGGAGACAGGGCCTCAGAATGAACACTGTTCAAATGGTGGGGCTTCCCTTTCCCCATAAATCAATGCAATGCATAACCCCGGCTCCTCTCTGTGTGAGCCTCCCACGTGTGTTTAGCCTGATTATTGCTTGTGGAACAGCGGGGAGCCGTTGGGCTATTGTTGCCTTGTCTCAGCAATGAACGTTTACCCTAGGAAAAAGCAGCATTTCTCTCCCTTAGTCTTCCTTTACAAACTGATACACAAGATGTACACAGGGATCACAGCCTGCACCAATGAAACGCAGCCACCTATGAGGTGATATGCAGTGCATGCTTAATTGTGCACAGCAATGCTACACACATGCTTAAGATAGAAAGCGGCAAATGAATCAGTCAGCTCTGAAACTGCACGTAAAATTTATTCTTTTGATTTAAACCCATGTTCATAAAAAAGAGCACATGACACTCCTTGACTCATTTTTAAAATACAGTGGTATAAAGAGGCTCCTCGCAGGACTCCCCTTTGCCCAGTAATTAACATGTGCTCACCACCCAGCACCTGACAGTAATGTCACAATCTTACAATCCCCCATAAGATTCCTCCCAGTTCCTCTCAGCTCAGGAACACAAAAGGGGCCTTACCACCTGCCCTGAAGGTCAATACACTAGTGATATTTTGGACCAAGGTGGGGTATGACCCTTAGATTGGAGGGCCCCTGACAGAATACCCTGCCCCCTCCCTCTGGGGTTCCAACCCAGATGTCCCTATCCTACAGTCCCAACTGTGGCAGCATAGCGTGCTCATTAGGTCCCAGGCCATTGAGGGCCTTGTAGGGCAAAGCTCATAGTTCAGATTCTACACGTACCTGATAGGTTGCCAGTGCTGATCCAAAAGCACGGGTATCATGTGTTCCCCAAAGGGTGTACCCTGTAACAAATGAGCTGCGGAATGGTGCACCAGCTTCAGTTTCTGGATAGATTTTAGATGGAGCCTCATATAAAGTGCATTGCATTAGTTAAAGTTAGGGAGCTAGGCTAATTACTGGAGTTGGAATTTAACCAAGGCTAACGCTCCTGCTTGTGCAAAAATGTGCCAGAGGATTTGTATGGACCACAAGATTGTTCAGGACCATTCTTCTTAATGGTCAAGAAATCTGGAATCTTGCAGGTAGCAAAACTGTATTTTAATCTTGTCAACTGAGCCAGTCCTTTCATTATTCTAATGTAGCAAGAGACAACCCAGAGATTCCTTGGAAAATCACTTCCTCAGTGCCAGTCAAACTACATATTTCTTTTGATAATCCTTGTCATAAGTAATATTTCTCATTGTCTGCTCTTACACATGATGTTACCTGCCTTAAACACTGTGCAGTCCTAGATGCTGACTTTGTCATTTCTATTTGGGTGTTCCTTTTGTTTGTACTCTTTGAGTTGCATGTACTATGCAAAATTGTAATGGATCCAAGGTTATAGTATCTTTTATGCAAATAACACTAAACATTTTAGCATCTGTCCCTGTTGTAACATGGGGCCTGATCCAAAACCCAATGAAGTTGATGAGAAACTTTCTGTTTACTTCACTTAGCATTAAATCGGGTCCTTAAAATAACATCATTACAAAAAATATTATATAAAAGGTCCTGGTATTCAGCTATAGTTCTTATGATGCACCAGACCGTATTACACAAAGAACACCATATTTCAGAGCACTTTACAGAATCTGTGGCAAAGGGACTGCATGCCGGCAGACAAAGCAGCTGTTGTGTGCTCAGCAGCCTGCCCAGTAAAGCCAATCACATCTGTACTGCTGCCAGCACAGATCACCAGGATTTCATTGTAATATTGATACAATCTGTAAACAATTCAAATTACTTTGCATTAACGTGTATAATTGAGTCGTACAATTTCACTGGTCCCTGCCATGATTTGTCTCCAGGCTGGAAACATGTTGAGTCAATTGATTTTCCTTCCATTAATATACCAGTTCCCTTGTATGAAATAAGTATTTTTTGGCCTTTGAATCAGAAGGGGGTCATTCCTGTGCCTTCTCCCTGCAGCCAGTGTACTCCACAGGGGTTGAAAGATAGCCCTCCCCAACAGACTCCAGGATGCCATGGCATCTTCTGAGGTGGTGCCCTCCCTTTCCTGTGGTTGCACTGTCTAAGGGGCGGGAGCCAGGGGCCAGGATCATAACAGCATAGTTTAGGTGCTAAGGCCCTCACTTAACCCTATTTAGCACTGGTGCAGCTGTGTGGATTTCATTAAGGTTACTACTGATTTATACCAGTGAGGGGGAGGCAGAGAGGGACCGTAGGTGGGATTAGAAGATCTACCAGGTTATCCACAGATATCTCAGACTCTGGTTTAGTGGTGGGTTTCTCTGGCACAAGACCATTGTTTTCTTGACATCACTCCTGGAAACGTTATTCCACAAAGCGATATTTCAGCGGGATCACCTCATTATGCCAGTCAACCAGCCTATTCCAGCCAGCAACGCTCATGCAAATACTGATTGCAGAGGTGGCTGGCACTTCTGAGTGTGACATCAGAGAAAAGAGTGCCACATTGTTGTTCAGTGGGTAGAGGGTCTTTGGAGACTTCAAGGAACCTGCCTTTGCTTTGGGTAGGAGGCTAATGGGAGGTATCTAAAGTTTCCTAGTTCGAACAGTCCAAGAAGTTATACAAACAGGAGTATTCTCGTCCTTAGGATAGCAGGGGTCAGCATATCGGGACCTGTTGGTTTCACTCTGGTACTTTGAACATCGCTCAGGCTGTCAGTATGAGGAGCAATCTTTATATTGCAGTTCCAAAGTGCTGTTGTTTTTGTTATGACGTGATGTGGCCCTTTTCCCAATTTGTCAGTTTGCTGTGATTCAACGGTGGAGTGTACTATGGGAGGGAATGCTTCCGGTTTGGCGACACGGCCTATGAGAGGCAGTGTGGGCTAGAGATAAGTAGGGGATTGGTGGCCAGGAACCCCTAAGGTCTAGTCCCAGTTCTGCCACTGACTCAAGTCACTTAACTTTTCTGACCCAGATTCTCATTTACACATAGGGCAGGTCGACACTAGAAGTGCTACATTGGCGCAACTTCACTGACGCAGCTGCTCCACTCTAGTGTGTCTGGTGAAGACGCTCTGTGCCAGTGGGAGAGCGCTCTCCCATCGGCACAATTACTCCACTTCTGTGAGAGGCGGAAACTATGTTGGAGGGAGAACGTCAGCGCTTAGGTCGCTCTAATTTGCATCGCTCAGTGTGTGTGTGGGGGGTCTTTTTCACACCCCTGAGTGACATAAGTTACATCGACTCAAGCGGTAATGCAGACCTGCCCTAAGACTCCTTTACAACAGTTTGACACTGGGGCTTCAATGTCTGTTTAAACTGCCAGCACGGCGTAAAGAGGCCTTAGGGTAAAAAAGAGAATCTGTCCCTCTCTCATTTCCCACTGCAGATGGAGACAGCGCAGTACTAAGCCACACCTGTGTGTGTTAGTCGTTATTGATGCGTTGTGCCTCGGCAGCACTGCAAAGAGTGAGCCTGAAACGCAATCTCAACGCAGGAAGTGCTCCCGGAGCCGCCTGATGCGCAGTCTGACAAGGCTCAGCGCTGTTAGCGTACGGCTCAGTCATCTTCAGTGGCCATTTTTTAGAATGGGGTGTGCCACATAGCCTTCCTGGTTCTGTGACAAGTAGTTCCTAGAAGAAGACTAGAGGAAAGAGAAGCAAAGTGGTTAAGTGGTTATAAACACCACACACACACACGCACAATTTGTGTATATGCTCTTTTTAAAAATGTTTCCTGGAGCAAGAGTTTGGCTCCAAGGCTGCTGTGGTATAAATGCTAAAGGTAGAAGGTTGTTGAGTTTCCAATGTAGAGTTTACAGTAGAAAGGGGGTTTCAAGTCTTTCTGTCTGGGTTGTACAGTACCAAACACACTGTGGTCCTGGCTTCTAGTCCCTAGAATGTAATAATAATGTAACAGAAGGGGTGGAGTCCCCAAACTGCTACCAAAATGGCAGCTTGACACCTTCACTTCCCTTGGCAGCTGTGCCTCTTCATGCTCACATTCCCCCAACACCCCCAAATGCCTCCCACCCATGTATTTATCAGTGATTAGTGCCCAGCTGTGCACAGGTGGATGTTGGTGCGTGAGTGCGGTATAGACAAAGAAAGCCCCACCAGCCAGTCAGCATGGGATTTTGGACAGTCTGTTCCCAGCCATATGCTAATAATACCTACCTCCCTCACAGGGGCATTGTGAGGGTTCGTTAGTTACTGTCTGACCAGCGATTTGAGCAAGTGCTGTGCTTTGGAAATGCTCAGTCGTACCCGTGTTATCCTGAGAAAGGGGTCTTTTCCCCCTGCTGGTGTGATGGGGGGGTTGCGTAACAAGCTGCTTCTATTTTAAGCAGAGGAAGTGTCAATATACTTCTCAAGGGGTGAAACATTTGAATAAAGTCGTTTATTGTTAGTAGTTGAGTTGTAGTGGTGCCGTCAGGCTGCATGAAACGCAGTAATTGTGAGTACTTAAGATCCTCCTGGGATGTCCCTCACGGTTGGTGAGAATGGCTACGCCTGCCTGCTAGACACAAGCTTAGACGGAGGATGAACGGTGCTCAATAGTTTTGGACGGAAAGCTCCAGGAAGCAGGGGCTGTGTTTACAGTTGTGCATTGTACAACGCTGTGCACGTTGTTGGCCCTCAAGAAAGAATAAAAACAAGGGCTGTTAGCCATGACCAAATCAACTGATAAAACCAAACCCCTGCCACCTTCTTGCCGGATAATTTGGCTCCTGTGGCATGGTTGCTTATCTGGTGAATCCCTTTTTCTTATGAAAACGTATGTCGTATGCTGCAGTAAAAAAATAAAGGCTGAAGCATTAGGCAGCTATTGAAGAAAGAGCTTCATCTGTCAGGCAGGCCACACACCAAATCCAAAATTATAGAGCACTGGGCTGTCTCCTTTCCTTGTGTTACATACCAAACTTCTGAGGTACAGATACATGAGGTACCTTTTGCAGAGAGAGTCAAGTTTGAGAACGCTCTGGGGCTGAATCTCTATTCACAGCATTCCACAAGCACAGCCCCGTTCTGTATGGCACAGCCCACTGACAATGTTCTTGATGTTGAGATCCATCCTTTGCCTCTCAGTCTCGACAGGTGCCACCCTTATAAATAACTCCCCTTGAAGGAGTGAGGAACAAGCACAGGACGGGGAGTTGGGAAACTTAGGGACAGATCCTCAGCTGGTGTAAATTGCCTGAGATCCATTTACTTCAGCAGGGCCCTGCCACTTTACACCTGCTGAAGGTCGGCCCCCTAAATTCTAATCCTGCCACTGATTCACTGTGTGGAGATGGGCAAATCACTGAAATCCTCCATCACTCAGTTTCTTTATCTTTAAAATAGGAATAACAATACTTACCTGATAGGGGTAGCGTGAGGAGCAAGGAGTTAAAATGTCTGTGAAGTGCTCTAAGCCCTAAATATTAATAATAATTAATAAAACATAATAATTAACCAAAGACTAAACATTATCAATCTGTTGTGCAACAATTCAAGTCACTGGTGCAGTGTACAAGGTGCAGCGTGTTCTTTATTGGACAGATAAAGGAATTGACCTCTTACAGGTTAGATTCACTGTGCTAGTTCAGTGGATGCTTGTGGAGCAATTTCAGATCTGCTTGCATGCCAAAAGCGGTGTGCTTTGATCAAACAAGGGAGTGCAATGCCCTGTGAAATCACAGCCCTCCATCCTGATGCTGGATTACATGAAGGCCAAATCAAGTGGAATAACTAGTGCTCATTTAGAACCACAAGGCAGAGTAAGTATTGGGAAAATGTATTTCCCCACATGTATCTTGGGTCCTGCTTTGAGCAGGGGGTTGGACTAGATGACCTCCTGAGGTCCCTTCCAACCCTGATAGTCTATGAGTCTAGTCTATATCTGCTAATATAAGGGTCCCCATGCACACCTTAACACTGGTGAAGGAGAATAGGGATTTAGGGAAGTGGCTGGATGGTTTAAGTTATATAAACACTTTGTGGAAGCTAGGGAAAAATCTAATCCTGCTCTCATTTGTCTCTTCATCATTTTAATTACATATGGATGAGCAGTGACATCATTGTACGGAAACATTAGATGAAACATTGAGGGAACTTTCTGTGTACTAGGCAATAGCCACCGTATCCTAAACAAACTCCTAAGGCCAAAGAGGTGATAAGATGTTAGACAAAGGCTAGAGTAGAAGCTTTACAACTGTGAAGGTAATAAAGGAATCCATTCATCTGAGATATGCGGGAGGGGACACTCTTTGCTTGTGAGGAAGGAGGAGGAGCTGGGAGTGGGAAGAGATTGAGAGGAATGTGGGGGGTTGATAGAGAAGGGAATGGGCTGAGAAGCAAAGGTGGCCATGTTTGCTATGGGCAAATGGACAGGGACTTGTATGGGCTAAAGTGTAAAAGATTGCAGGAATTTGCATATTCCACTCTGGCAAAGATTTGTGGGAGGCCAGGCAGAGTGCAGAGATTTGTCTGGTGTTCAATTATTGAGAAATAAGCATACAGCGTATGCTAATTCAAGGCCTCTGATAAACCGCTACTGGCTATTAGCCATGAACATGGAGAAATAACAGTACAATTCTGGATCACTGACTGTCCCACTTTTCTATATGCTGAATGGCTGAGGCAAAGCTTCTCAGTATGACACACATCAGCTTTTATATAAACAGAAAATGGAGTTTGTTGAGTGTATTGATGAGAACCATGTTCCGTTGCCACTTCATTCTCATGGAGGAAAGAAGGCAACAAGGGAAATGATTCCAAGACCTTTCCAAACGTTGGACAGCACACTGAAGGAGCTTCCATTCTATTCCACGTGATGAAAACGGCTCAGAATTTGTCTAGCTACAATAACTCCATCTTCACACCTGAAGAAGTTATACAGCTCATACTGATATTAATTCTTCACGCGTCCATTGTGCCGCCCCCACACACATATCTACAGACATTTGTGATGGGCAAGTACTATTGTCCCATTTTACAGGTGCAGAAATGAATGTACAGCAATGTGAACTGACTTGCCAAAGGTCCCCCAGAAAGTGAGACAGAACTAGGAATAGAACTCAGCTCTCCTGACTTCCAAGTCCGGTGCATTAGCTAGAAGACTATCCTTCCCCTCAAAAATAATGAATATGTAGTGGATGCAGAACATCATTCTGGGGTTAATAAATTGGGCAGGGAATATTGCTGTTTGAGGTTGAGGAAAGATGTCACAGACTCTGGTTTATACTGGGTGGAAAACTAAAAGTGAAGAGTTAACATGTAAAGGTTCATCTTTCCTTTGAGATGAAGTTCTCACAAGCTAAGAAACATTAAATGAGGGTCTCATTTATTTGACACCTCCTGACAAGCCTGATTCTGAGGTTCTGAGAATCCTCAAACAACAGCGGGTGTAATTCATATTTTACCGCTGACTTCAGTGAGAACTGATGATCCTCAGCACTTCAGAGGATGAGACTCCATGTGCCTCACTCAACAAAAACATACAGTAGGCTTTTCCAGGTAGGCAAGTTCCCAAAAGGCCACAGAAGTTGGCTGCAAGGCAGGCTGGCCTACTCATACAAAAGGTCAACCTGCTACAGAAACCTGACAGAGTAAACAACTGCAAAGACAACCCTGTATTAAAGCAACATGAATGTTATGGTTTTAAATCTACAGAGGCCAGGAAATACAGCATGAAGAGTCTCAGGGTAATGTTAGCTCTGTCCTTTTGTGCAACTGCATTATGACAAGGTCTTTCATCACATGGGCCCATAAGGCTGATCAGTGCAACATGCTATTTAGCTAATATTTACTTTATGAACAAAGACAAACTATGTGTACATAAAACCTATGCTAACTGAAGTACAAATTGCAGAATTAAATATGAGATCTTTCCAGAATGCTTTGCTCCAAGGAAATTGTATACACATTGCCAAAAACCCCTGGGTATTAAACACATTCCCACAGAGAGAACAGTATTCATATTGTATAACGATGAAAATAGCCCCAAATATTAACTAGTACACACTGGAGTTTACATCAGTACTAACAGAAACAGATCCTCATCTGGCATAAGTCACCATAGCTCCATTAATTTTGATGGACTTGACTTCAGTGGTGCTACCTCAATTTACACCAGCTGAGGATCTGTCCCAATATTGTTTTCATTTTAAGAAGCTACTGTTCATGAGAATGCCCATCGTGTAATAAAGAGGAAAGGGGTGCATATTTTCAAAGATTGTGGGACATTCCGAGAGGCATCTTCGTCATGGGGCGCTCATCATTAGCCAAGTAACCATGTAAACTGGATCCACTCAAAGACAACTAGTTCTGGAGATGAATCAGCCCTGATCCCCAAGCAGGTGGCCCTAATTCCTTGGATTCATTTTCCCACTCTGTATTCTGGCTGCAGAGGCGACTCCTGCCATAGTAGTTGCTGCCACGGGGAACAGATCAGAGCGAGGACCAGGGCCCTTTAGTGCATTGTTAGTAAAGTTAACACTGTCTCCCCTGACTTGGCTCGCCAGTGCTGGAGCATCTTATGGCCTGCTGCAGGGAGCTGGAGCCATGGATTCCAACTCTGGGGGAGGGGCTGGGCTGAACAGCTGCCTAGAGATGACGCGACGAGACCTGAATAGTCTTTCACCCTTGGGAGCTAAGCAGG